AAAAAAAAAAAAAAAACACTAATCGCAGCCGCAGCCCCGCAGGAGCCTTCCTTCCGTTGTCCGGCCAGCAGCCTCTGAAGCGGCACTTCTTTGCACCGAGGTGGAGGCGAGTTCCCTGTCTGGGCGTCTCACTCTTCACGGCATGGCGCCTCTTCGGTTACTGGTGGGCATGGCGATTTTCGAGAGTGCTCAAACGATGGTTCGACGACTTGCGGCCATAGGCGTTTTCCTCCTCCGTGGTGGGAGATTGTCCTGAGAACGATGTCGTCTAGTCCCCTGGATCCTACCGCCTCCTAGTGTTGGGGTGCGGGGTCCGACGGGGGGTGGTCGGCCGCCGTAGGTGGTGGACTGCCTTGGCCCGGTTTGATGTTGGGGGGCTAGCTCGGTGTAGTCCGTGTTGGTTCCGATGGATGGAGTTCGGGCTCTTTTTGGTCCAGATCTAGTTAGGCTTTGAGTGTAGTTTATAGATCTAGGCTGGGTCAGTCTTCCTTCTTTGGGATCTGTGTCAGTTGGTAGTTCTCGGTTGGTTGTGGGCGGTTGTGGAGGGCTTTGTTCCCTTTCTTTCTTTTCGTTTTGTTTGTGTGTGTTGTTCAGTGTTGGTGGTTTGTTTTGTGTTTTAGTTATTGTGTTGTTGTGTTTTCTCCAATTTGGCAGCTGTGTATTCTCCTGTTGGGAGCTGTGTATTTTCCTTTTGGATCATGTTATTCTCCCGTGTAGTTTGTTGTATTGTGGGTGCGTTAGTGTGGTTGATTCTAGGCTACATCTGTGTAGGCCTACTGATTCAGCTGTTTAGCTGCTTGGTTATTAGTTGTCTGCTAGTTGTAATTATGTGATTATTAATAAAAGTTCTATCGTTTCGAAAAAAAAAAATTAACTTAAATATAATTCAACCTCACTATCCTTAATGTTATTAATATAATTAAATAATATAGATCAATCATCCATATACATTACATCAACTCTAATTCACTATTCTTTCTCTCTCATAATTTTAACGACTTATCACTTTCAATCACTCATCTTCAACTCCAATCATTTTAATTTAAATATTTTTAATAAAAATTCAACATTCTATTCAAACTTCACTCAATCAACTTTTTCAAAACTAACTATGGTTAACTAATAAAACCAATCAAAACAAAAAAATATAAACTGTTATGAAATATTTGTTATAAAATAATATATGTGAAGACTATTTTGCCTTCGATGTTGTAACACCCCAACTTACTATATAAATCAGAGTTGCGCATTTATTCGCAAAGTCTTTGAAAACTAAAACATTTTTACTTTGCGAAACTGTTTTGGGGTGCTACCGTGAAAAATCCTTACTTAACTTAGAAAAACGTTATTTTAATTTAATAAAACATTTGGTTACTGAAAACTTTATTTTCTGAAAAGTTCGTCAAAATACGATAAGTTCATCAAAATGTATCAAAACATCGTCAAAAGTCGTCAAAAGACAAGCGGAAGCGTAAATCATAGTTATACAGTCCAAAACATAT